TCTTCTTCTTCCTCCTCCTCCTTCTTCTTCTCCTTCCTCCTCTTGTCACTTCACTGGCCTGAATGTGGGTTTTCACATGGCTTGCTTTGTTGCATTAGATTCTCCTCTGCGACATATATGCAACGAACCGATGGGGGTCCTTACCCCATCCGTGTGACTGCGTTGCTTGCTTACACACCCCCTTCCTTTTTTCCTTGTTCCTTATTGTCGTCATTTTTCTTGTCGTCAATTTCCTAGTAATCTATCCCTTTTCTGTAATCCGCGCTGGCTTTTTGGGTTTGTAATCTTTTGGTTCGATAGGGACGGGATAGTCGCAGAAAAGAAGAAGAATGGCTTATCGAAGCGTCTGCCACTTCTGTCAGCTACCTGGCCATTTCATCAGGGAATGCCCCTTTCGGCATCAACCTAATGGAGCAGAAATGGCCGCGCGAATTCGTGAAGGAGGAACAGGAGGTGCGAATCGAGGTGATGTTAATGGTATCGTGGAGGCACCAGCGCAGGGAGCAAGTGCATCGAATGCGATTGTTCCTTACCAAGGTCCGCAAAATAGAGGTGGCGGCAGTTACGGTGGAGGTTACAATAATGGTGGAGGCTATAACAACGGTGGGGGTTATAGCAATGGTGGAGGTTACAACAACGGTGGAGGTTACAACTATGGTCAGAGGTTCACAAGACAGTGGACAGGGGGCTATAAGGACCGCAATCAAGATGGGAAGATTGATCGCATGTATTGCTTGCTGTCAGATCAGATGGAGGAAAGGGAACAATGGAAACAGGAGAAGGCGAATCTGGAGCAGGTTGAAGAAGATAAGAAGAAAGCACTAATAAAGGAGGAGAAGAGGATTCAAGCAAGTAGGGAAAGAGAACAGCAAGAGGCAAGGTTGGGGAAGATCGTAAGGACAAGTGCGAAAGCGGTATATGAATCGGCACTCGGGAGAAAGGTGGATATTCCCGAGGACGACGAGAGTGAAGTTTCTAAGTTGAGGAGGGAGTTGGAAGAGCTGCGAGATAGGAGCATGGGGGAGTTGAGTCAATCACGACTGGATGCACTACGAAAAGAAAAGGAGGCGTTATTGATGGCTAAGGATCGACAAAGTGAAGAAGAGCGATTGAAAGCGGAAATTGTCGAGCTGAAAAGCCGTCAGGAGCAAGGGAAATCAGATGATATGAGGAAGGATGAGATCTTGGCTCTGCAACTGCATATGAAGGAACTCGGCACGATCCGTACAGCTCTGGAGGAGAACAACGCGGAGGTCTCCACCCTTAAGGTAGAGAACAATAATCTCAGGAAGGACGTTGCGGGGCTGAAGGAAAAGTTTCTCAATCTGAGAAACAAGAGGGGGTCAGGGGACGTGACTGGAAGCAGCCCGCCCGTGGAACCACCTAAAGGGAAGCAACGGGCCGGCCCATCCAGTACGGCGATGTATACACCGAAGGATCTGGAGGCTTTGCAGAAGGCTTATAAGGCAGCACTGGAAGGGAAGGAGATGATGCTTAAAGAAGCTGAGAAGCTCAAGGAGCGTATGACCATGATGGGTGCCTCGCGAGTGCGGATATCGTCCCGAAAAACTCAAATGAGGAGGACGAAGCCACGTAATCTAAGGACAAGCTTCCAAACAGTGCATGTCGAGTCGGACGAGGAGGATAAGCAGAAGGATAAAAAGCATGAGAAGGGTAATCCTCGCAGTATTGAAGATGTGGCTCACGACCTTGAGGTTGCAAAGATGGCGGGATTTAGGGAAAACAAACTCAAGGAGCTCCGGAACACTAAGAAGGCGGAAGTGGAGGCGATATGTGTTGACGAGGGTATCACCTACATCAAGCTGGAGCAATCAAGAGTCGATGTGGCAGAAATCAGGGCCAGTCGGGACTACGCAGCCTGGTTGAAGGAGAAAGGACCGTCGGAGGAGGAAGATGGCGTTGATGACGTGTGAGGACACTCCCTGAGCGTGTCGCGTCTTCGTGAGCTGGCCTTGCTCTGTCGTGATTTTTATGACGTTTTACCTGCAGAGCAGCTTCATTATATTTATCGTTTGGTGGTCGTGCTACTCATTATTCGATGAGGCATTAGCTGGTGTGGTAAGTTTTTCGATTCTTTGAGATCTTTACTAAGTAGATATTATAATTTTTACTCCTGTCATGGTCCGGCGGTTTATGCTTTAGTATCTCCATGGTATCGACATGTGTATATTGGGTGTACGAAGAGGTCTCTTGCAGTTAAGTGGAAGGAGCACATAGCATCAACAATATCGTTGGGTAGCACTAAAGGGAACAGGAAACTGTATAGGTGGCTACGTAGAGTAGGTTTAAATCACTATGTCGCTATTCCTATCTTTGCTTCGTCGGAACAGGATCTGTTTGGCTTGGAGAATTTCTTTATTAATTCCTTTAGTCCTGCTTTGAATTGTAATGTTAAGAGGAGACGTGCTCGTAGATCTTGTCGGCCAGGAAAAAGGGAGAGACTACGTAAGAAGCTAAGGGAATGCCGGGGTTGTCTCCCTTCTTCTTCTTCTTCTTCTTCTTCTTCTTCTTCTTCTTCTTCTTCTTCTTCTTCTTCTTCTTCTTCTTCTTCTTCACATCCCACAAGAACTACTCCGGACCCCTTCATCTTCTCATCGTCCTTTGGTCTCAAATCGGCCAGTCCAATCTCTATTCTTCAGCAGGCTATTGATCAAAAAGTCCCAACTCCTTTCTTGATCACTGTCTCGTCCGGATCTTTCTTCTCTGAAAAATGGAAGCTGGTTCGTCGTCTCTTTGGATCATCTACCTTGTCTGCTGTCAATCTTCTTATTTCTCTCTTGAGGAATTGCAGGTCCTGGTTCAAACCAAGAGCTCACGTATATTTCCATACTGTATCGCGTTTTTGTTCACGCTCCTTACCTCTCAAAGGCACTCTAATTAGACTACTTAGTTCTCCCTCCTCAAGGAAGGATCTGGTGGATTTGAGTCTTGAAAGTTTTATCACGCTGTATGATGCGGTGAGGATAGTGTCGTGTAAGAGATCACGTACTAACCTTAAGACAATCCTGTCTAATGCTTGCCGCAGAAAATTATCGCTCTGTCTTTCGGCTCGCTTGATTATTAGGATTAGATTTGACAACTTGCTGGTCCAGGAAGAAATTCGAAATGTTTGTAAAAAGGTCATAAGCGGTCTCGATTTGTCCCCTTCGTATTTGGATTTAGTATGCCGCCGATTTAGGCTAGTATGGACAATAAATCGCAGTGTTGGGGATTTAGTACATAATTTTCGAAATTACTCAGTTGTCCCGGACGCCGTTTGTTCATGTAGTGGTGCTGATGCTGTCTTTCCTCGTGAAAATGGCCACGTAACTTTTCGATTCAGTCAGGTGAACTTTCTTCCGTCTTATCTTGGTAACTCTAAGGATATTACCTCTCCGAATTATTCAACTAATAGTAGTGAACTTAGAAAGCAGATTAGTTCCTCTTTATCCACCTTCTTTGATAAAAATATTGAAGTCTTGTCCAAGTTGCTTTCCGGGTGCTTTACGCATGAGGGTGTAGGTCGCAGATATGCGATGGAGAATGAGATTCTGGGGTATGGGGCGCATTTCAAAGGGCTTGTGCTTTGTCCGTTGGATCATAACGCGGGTGACACCTATGCCTGTTGCCCTGTGGTATATTCTCAGGGAATGAAGAAGCTTTTTGTAGACAATCGCGGGCCACAGGTTGTTAACTGCAGCGAGGAGGAGGTTTTGGGTACATGTAAGGAAAGCTATAAGATAGGGAATTTCACACGTCTGGCGCCATGGATTGGAAAAGGCAAATTGGGTAGATCCTATGTCATACCGAAACATAAGGATGTAAACAAATGGAGACCGATCTGTCCTTCTTGGTTTGAACCGTCTTGACCAGCTTCTATGATCATCTCACGCTGAGTGAATGAATTTTTGAGGCGTTTGCCGTGCCTTAGTCACTTCAATCTTTTCAGTACAAACTTACTACCTTCTTTTCTACAGCCGGTCAACAAAGATGTCAATCAGGGTGACAGATTGGTAGCCGGTAGCTTTGACACTAAGGAGATGTTTTGTCAGCTTCCTCATTCGGCTATTTTGAAGGCTGTGGAATGGGCAATGAGTGTTTTTGAGTAAAAAGGATTCTACAAATGTCTGGTCCATAGTCGGAAGAACCAGGTCAGATTAAGTAGGACTGCAGTAAGTGAGGTTGGCTATAAGTCGGTCAATTTTTCTCTGTTAGTTAGGTATGTCGTGTATGACCTGGATAACACTTATACTATGGCCATGGGATCTGTGCTCAAGCAACACCTAGGAATACCGATGGGAAAATCCTCGAGCCCCGCTCTTGCTTGTCTTATGTGTGTTCACAATGAATTCACNAGGAATACCGATGGGAAAATCCTCGAGCCCCGCTCTTGCTTGTCTTATGTGTGTTCACAATGAATTCACCTTCCTTCGTGGTCTGGGAAATGATGCGCGATTGGTTAGAGGTTTGTAGACTAATTGATGATGTCTCTATTTTCGTTAAATATGAGATTGGGAAGGCTGGGTCAAAAGATAAGGCTGTCAGTATACTCTCTGCTTTTAAGGATTCTTGTTATGACAAGCATTTGACTTTGGAAAGTACTAGCAAGGGCCTTGAATGACCGTACTTAGGATGTCGTATATTGGTAGGGAAGCAACCTATTAAGGTTTATTGTCAGCCTCTGCATAGGAACCAGGATCCTATTTTTGACGGAGCTGGTATTATTTTTCACAATTTACAGAACTTTAGCTCTTTTTGCAGCAAAACGCAGAAGGTTGCGGTTATTACTTCATTCTTTCATAAGGCTTATGATATGGGCACATTGCCCRCTGCGGAGGCTACCTATCTGTTCAGTCTGAAAATCAAATTGCGGAAGAGAAGCTTTCCAGATGGTATTTTCGATAAGGCGCTTACGAAGTTTAACATTAAAATAGGGGGGGCCAGGACGGACTGGGTCCGCTGCTTCACGAATTGGGCCCACTGAGCCAGGCCTTGAGTATATTTTTGTCGTGATATCGAGGTCCTGGGTTCTTTGTGAGCTCACTGGTACCATGTACGTTTTCAGATTCTTTGGTTCTTTCACATTATAGGTGCTATATATAGGTCTATTGTCTTACTGTTTTGTCAACCAGTGCTACCCTTGAGGATGGTCGGTATACTGGTGGACCGGCCGAAACACGTGTAGGGTAATCACCAGTCGGTGCTTCACGTACGGCGCCCAGCGCCATTTTACCACTTGACAGCTACTTTTGCAAATGTTTCGAGCTGACGCGCTCGGGGGATAACGCCACTCTTGTCTTACCTTCTTCTCTTCCTTCTTCTTCTTCTTCTTCTTCCTCCTCCTCCTTCTTCTTCTCCTTCCTCCTCTTGTCACTTCACTGGCCTGAATGTGGGTTTTCACATGGCTTGCTTTGTTGCATGAGATTCTCCTCTGCGCGTTGGAAGGCCTACCCGTTCGATAATTGGCAAAAACGGGAGGTGGCGAAAACGGGAGGTGGCGGTCGTGCTTTTTGTTGTTTTTTTTGTTTTTTTGTTTTTTTTTGTTTTTCCCCACCTTCGATTTTTTGTTTTTTCCCACCTTCAATTTTTTTTATTTTTTATTTTATTTTTTATTTTTATTATTTTTATTTTTTTTCGCGCCTCCCACGGCCGAGCTGTGTAGGCCAAGTCTCTCCAAGGAAGCTACCCTCTTGTGCCGAAACTGACGGGGTGACTGGTACACAGTTCCTAGTTCGCAGGAATAACAGGGCACTGCAGCTCTGGGCCAAGGACAGTTAGAAACTGCAAACAGCTTTGTGCACTTCTAGCCGTTGGAAGTTCGGAAGCGGCAAAATCAGTCGGCCACTCGTGTGTGTGTGTTTATTTTATTATTAATTTATTATTATTATTATTATTATTATTATTATTTTGTGCCTGCTTTATTTTTCTTTTTTCTTGTTTCTGCACGCCTGTGCCCGGGGTCGATGTGCTTATGCCACGGCCGAGGTGTCTAGGCCACACCCATGGCTGGGCGATGGCCGAGATGTCCTGGCCACGCCCATGGCTGGGCCAAAGCCGAGATGTCTAGGCCACGCCTGCGGCTGGGCGACGGCCGAGATGCCTAGGCCGCACCCCTGGGGAAACGAGCCAAAAATGGGAGAGCCTGCTACCCATAAGAGCGGTACCACTACCGGCCGAGATGTCTAGGCCGCGGCTGAGATGCCTACATAGGCCACACCCCTGGGGAAATGACCGGACCGGGTACCGGTACCGGTACCTTCTTTTTTTCTTGCAGCTTCGAGCCTGTCTCTTATACACATCTAGATGTGTATAAGAGACAGACCCATAAGAGCGGTACCACTACCGGCCGAGATGTCTAGGCCGCGGCTGAGATGCCTACATAGGCCACACCCCTGGGGAAATGACCGGACCGGGTACCGGTACCGGTACCTTCTTTTTTTCTTGCAGCTTCGAGCTGCACTGCGTTCAGATTGCAGTCGGCTGTTATTCGGACTTGTTCCTGCGAATTTGGAACTCTGCCACGGTCCGTCGGTCACAGGCGCACCGCCAGTTGTCCCATAAATTAAATATGCTGGCGTCCGGCCTAACCATGTAGCTCGAATGGATAATATGAGGGCGTCTTACCTAGCTCGAATGGATATGAGTGCTTCCCTGGTTAGCATCACGACCGCCGTCAAAATATGGATGTCCCTGCTGGACCCCACCCAGTTTTCAAGTTGCACTGCACAGTGGTTCTCCGGGCCCCCGAAGTCCACACCAACACTCCACAACCGTAGGGGAATTGCAGATTATGATACTGTTGAGGCTGGTTATTTCCAAATTTGGCTATGTACGAAGTACTACGAACAATTCAGTCAATGTGGTCTTCTTTTTTTTTTTTTTTTTTTTTTTTTTCCTGAGGCAGTAAAGGTTGCCTATTTGCCAATTAAACCTTGGGCCCGCCAGCTGTGGATATATCTCAAGAGTCAAGGCCATCCAGTGGCAGGGGGTGTTGGTGGGTGGGCTGCACACACTT